CACCCTCACTTTGTGCGCTGCCTGATTCCAAACGAATCAAAGACACCAGGTTTGACCAGCACTGCACATTACATCAACTGTGTAAACTTCAATATTAAAGGAGTTTCACCAGGTTTATTTAAGCAATAACATACGAGAAGGAGTGTGGTTGTACTCCAATAAATCTCAGCCTGTGGCCTATTGCCTATGACCAAATCACAGCCATGGAGTTCAAATGCATCACTTATAATATATGTCTTTGCTTTTATGCAGCGTTTCATTGAGTAACATTTAGAAGGTAACAGTAATAAGCTAAAACAAATAATAATTTGCTGGATTACACTCCAACACAACACTGGTCACTCGCTCTCAACTACTTTGCATCATTTAAGATTAAATAATGGTTCTTAGATATACCTCATGTGAAATGCTCGAAGATGGGTATACTCTGATAATGGCACTAAAAGAACACCTCTTGTCCAGTCAGATTCGTTGGCTGGAACTGTATAATCTGATTTTATGTATAATTCCTTTACTTTCATTTGTCCTCCAGGTCTAATGGAGAACTTCCTGGTTATCCATCAGCTGAGGTGTAACGGTGTGCTGGAAGGTATCAGGATCTGCAGAAAGGGTTTCCCCAGCAGAATCATCTACGGTGACTTCAAGCAGAGGTCATTTCTCACACTTCTCTTTCACTGATTATTCTATGTATCAAAAAAAGTCCTTATAAAATATCATTGGTAAATAGAAGCAACAAATAACAGCTAAACATAAATCACAGATACAAAGTCCTGAATGCCAGTGTGATTCCGGAAGGACAGTTCATTGATAACAAGAAGGCTTCAGAGAAGCTCTTGGGTTCAATTGATGTCGACCACACTCAGTACAAGTTTGGCCACACCAAGGTAAAAGGCTGGACATTTATGTATATCTAAAGGTTATGTGTTTACATCTGTGTCGTGCCATTTCTAACACACATTGCAGGATTCATAATCCTGTAATGTACCTAATATCTATTACATTTGTTACCAGGTGTTCTTCAAGGCTGGTCTGCTGGGGCAGCTAGAGGAGATGCGAGATGAAAAACTGGCCATTCTGGTCACCATGACTCAGGCCCTGTGCCGTGGGTACCTTATGAGACGGGAGTTTGTAAAGATGATGGAGAGGAGGTAAATTATTAAATACATTAGAATGTTTGCACGCTGTGTTCTTGGTTTTCTTTTGGGTACTTTTCTTCTCACAGTACAAACACATGCAGGTAGGATAGAGTCTCTAAAAGGCCTACAATGCATGACTGTGTATGTTGACATGCTCTTGTTTAGAGTGCCCTACGCTTACCAGCCTCAAGGTCCCCAAGGAAACTGGGATAAGCTATAAGATGTATAGATGGATGGATACGTAACAACATTCTGCATTGAGTGGCATGAATATTTAAAATTCAGTTTCATTTAATTACAGCATATTATTAATTATTATCTTAGCAATTATTACAATATGCCTTTCTGAACTAGATATGGACAATCTGTACAAATTCGGCAGACTATCAAAGTTCTCTTATGATCTTCCTTCAGAGGGTCCATTTACACCATTCAATACAACATTCGTTCATTCATGAATGTGAAACACTGGCCATGGATGAAAGTGTACTTCAAGATCAAGCCACTCCTGAAGAGTGCAGAGGCTGAGAAGGA